TATTCCCACTCCTGTTCCTGGATTCTGCGTGTTGTTGTTTTAATTTGAGAAGAGAAATATCTGGCAGATCATTATCTAAGTATTAGGTGTGATTCTTTTTTGTAAACCGTATTTATTATTGAGGTTTAATATTTTTAAAACCAGTATCATTTGTTCCTTACATAATAATTATAAGTTCTTTATTTGCTCTAACTATGTTATTCTAGTTTTGCATTCTAATTCTGGGTTTTTTTACGTTTTTGTATATATACTTCAAAAAATATTTGTATTTTAGCTACAAACGTTCTATTGAGGTACTTTTGGGTATGAAATTTTTTTGAAACCCGTTCAGAGTTTTTCATGCAGTGCATTTTCCATGAACCTTTTGAAGACCCCGGTCGCGTAGCGGTTACACTTCTGGTTGCAAGGTCAGCAGTTTGAAACCACTGGCCACTTCTTGGGAGAAAAGAAGAGGTTTTCTCCTCCTGTAAAGAGTTGCAGTCTCTTAAAAAAAAAAGAGCTGCAGTCTCAGAAACCCACAGAGGCAGTTCCCCCTGTCCCTTAGGGTTGCTGTGAGTCGGCATCGACGCAACGGCAGTGAGTCTGTGTAGTTACATATAGTCTGCAAATAGCGATAGAGCTATCGCTTCGATATTTGTGACTACTAAATTATGTCAATATCTTGACTTCTTAGAGTTGCTATAATAAAATTACCACAAGTAGGGGGCGTTAATAAACAGCAATGTATTTTCTCACAGATGAGGAGGTCTGAAATCAGGATGCTGGTTCTAGGGAAAGGTGATCTCTGTCTTTCTAGGGGAGTCTTCTCTGGGCAGTCATTGGGAGAGCACCCCCATGTGACTGACTCATCCGCCTCTGGGCGTCCTTCCATCTGTGCCTGCCTGTTCTTTGTACTGGGTATCTCAAAATGTACTGGTTTAAGACAACACCCTGCACTGGTAAGGCCTCATTAACACAGAGAAGAAAACTCTCCCAAAGGGGATGAACCACCACTATAATGTGTCGGTTAGTATTTACCACATGTAATTTGAAGGGACACAATTCAAGTCATAACAAATGCTTTATTGAGAATTTCTAGAATGATAGCAGAGTAGTAATCTTTATTTTTTTAACAGAATACGTCTTGTGTTTCACAGTCAACTATAATGCTGCGTGCGTTATTTAATGAAATTAACTGGTGTGGCCTGCCACTTTCTGTTTGTGTTTTGCTGTTGTTTTTAGCAAGTTCCTGACTCACCTTTTGTTTCCTTTCAGGTACATACCTATGTCAACACTACAGGTGTTCAAGAAGAGCGAAAAAACCGAACCAGTGTACATGTCCCGCTGGAGGCCAGGGTTTCTAATGCTGAGAGCAATACCCCAAAAGAGGAACCAAATAGTATTGAAGACAGGGACCCTCAGGTTCTTCTTGAGCCTGAAGGAGTCAAATTTGTTTTAGGACCAACTCCTGTTCAGAAGCAATTAATGGAAAATGAGAAACTGGAGCAACTTGGAAGAGATCAAGTTAGCGCAAGTGGAGGAAGTAACACAGAACGGGACACTGGATATGACAGTGATGAGCGCAGAGATGGACCCTCTGTTAACAAACTAGTGTATGAAAACATAAATGGGCTATCTATCCCTAGTGCCTCAGGGGTCAGGAGAGGTCGTCTGACATCCACCAGTACCTCAGATACCCAGAACATCAACAACTCAGCTCAGAGGAGAACTGCATTATTAAATTATGAAAACCTGCCATCTTTGCCTCCTGTTTGGGAAGCCCGCAAGCTTAGTAGAGATGAAGATGATAACTTAGGACCAAAGACTCCATCTCTGAATGGCTACCATAATAATCTAGATGCAATGCATAACTATGTAAATACAGAGAATGTAACAGTGCCAGCAAGTGCTCACAGAACAGAACATTCAAGGTGTCGGGACTGTGCACCAACAGTCTTTAACTTTGATATCAGACGCCCGAGTCTGGAACACAGGCAGCTCAATTACATACAAGTTGACTTGGAAGGTGGCAGTGATTCGGATAATCCTCAGACGCCAAAAACGCCTACCACGTCTCTGCCACAAACGCCTACCAGGCGCACCGAGTTGTATGCTGTGATAGACATTGAGAAAACTGCTGCTATGTCAAATTTGCAGAAAGCACTGCCACGAGATGATGGTACATCTAGGAAAACTAGGCATAATAGTACTGATCTGCCCATGTGAGCCTGGAAAGCATTACATTGTGTGCACCTTTGTGAAGTTTTAAAATATGAAGATGCAAGTGCTTCATGTTCATTTCTAAACACTAACTTTTTATAGACTGATACAATTTTGTTTCCTGACTATTCCATGTGCTTCTTTAAAGGGAATTAATGTAGAGCAGGTACTCATTAAGGAACACTAATTTCATTATATACTACTCATTCTTGTACAGCAGCACTCCCATTTTCACAGTGCCTATTTAAAACGAGAGTCTGAGTAAGTGACATGCTGGTTGATTTCTCTTGATGTTCTGGACTTATGCATATCATTCATGTGTAAGTCATGGCTGGCATTGAAAACATTTTATAAAGCCTCTTGATAATGTGCATTGCTAGCGGATAACTGTAGGATTTGAAAGTAATATGTGTAGATTCACTGTCCATGGTATGTGGCCGCCAGCATGTAACATGAGGAATCCTTTATTTCCTTCACTAATGGCTTTTCAACTTGAGCCAAAACCTATGTAAAGGAAATATAAATACCACACTTCCTTATATACCAGTCAGCTCCTTTGCCTTGAGCGTCATTGGAGAGAGTCCCCGGTCCATGGATCAGATTGGCTGTTGGTGTGTGAGAAAGGCGAGAAGGAGAAAGGACTTTATGTTTACTCATCTCATGATGTCATTTGAAGGGCATGCGCAGATCTCTTCATCAAAATCATAATAGGCTCATGAATCAGTCTCAGGTCACTTTACCCAAAAGCATTTGAAAATCTGAACCACGATCTCTGAAATTTCCTGTCCTATAAATAAGTATCATTGTCTTCTGGAGGTATTTGTGCCATTTGGTTTCCGTTTACCTTCAGGGGGGTTTTCCTTTGGTGTTTGGGGTATGTTGTTTTGTTGCTTGATGTCTTTTTCAACTTAAAATGCCTAAGTTTGTATATAGTTTATTGGATTATATGTTCATTGTTGTTTGGTTTGCATTTTTTCCCCCGTCAAATTAATGATTTTGAAGGTTCATTTGGAACTTACTGTTATTCTATAACAGGGTTGCCCTTGTTCAGTATTTATTTATTTGCTGTTTACTTTTCTAGTTGATAAAAACATTTTTTCAAATTTTAATTTCACTTGTGTCCATAGGTGATCTTTTTAGCAGCTGAGAAAAAAAGAAAAGATAGTTTGCCCATGCAGAGTTTACCCTAAGGCACGGTGTTCGCTCTGTGGGCACTCCTCCCAGCACTTTAGCAGTGACTCACTCGGTTCCATGGCTGCACTCGTCCGCTGCCCGCTGTTTGTTCCTCAGCTCTGCTGCGCTTTCACTCATAGCTGGACCTTTGAGTATCTCTTGATGACTACAGAATATTAATATTGTTGCCAGCAAAGCAGGTTCAAGTGAAAGTCTTGTAGCAATGAGACTGTGTCATACGTAAGGATTTAGGATGAATTGAAGTTCATTTGAACGGATGAGAGTCCTTGAAAAGCAAGCATGTTCTGGTTTCCCAAACACTGGAGCATATCAAAAGGTTAGGTGGAGTGCAGGTTTGGTCACCGTACAAAATATTTCACTATCTTCACAGAACCCGCGCAAGTCTGAGCTTGTGATCGGGATCGACCAGATGTAATTAAGGAGAATTCAGCAAGAAAAAGTGTCAGTCCAAATCACCTCCAGCCTAAACATCAACAATGTGTTAGCAGAACCATCGAGCAGGACCATTATAAAGAAAAGAAATGATAAAGGCGTCCTTAGCATTTTCAGTGCCATTGGTTGGTGTGCATAGCAGATTTTCTTTCTTTCTCGTGTGTGACCTGGGTGCTTGTTAAAGAGTTTGCTGTTCTTTAAAAAAGAGATCAGTGGCATAGGTGTGCAGTTTCCATTTTAATATTTTTAAATATTTTTAAAGCTCCATGTGTGCTTCTGAGTAGATTGCTAATTGTGCCAAATTTCTGTGATGATTTTGTAATATGGAATGAGAGTGGCAATGGAATGAATGCACATGGTTTTCTGAGAACAGGCAGTTGAGACAGCACACTAACCTCCAAGGGAAAGGGCTGATCTATTTCTTCATTTTGGGGGTTACTTTTTTATCTTTCTCTCATCCTTTCCATCTTTTCCTCCAGCTTCCAACTAGGTTTTTTTGTTTTTTAAGGTAACTTTGAATATAATCATTACAGTTTATGCTTTAAATACTATGTGCTTTAACAATGAAAATGGGACCAATTGCTAAGAATTTTACGTTCGGTTCTGTATGAGTATTAGGGAGGTGTGTACAACTGGCGATAGTTTCTACTCTTCTGGAAGTCACCTGTGTTCCTATTTAATAAAAAGTAATTTAGGGCACTCTCTTGAAGTAGTCTAGTATTGGGCATTAAGCTCTTTCCGGGGGGAAAAAAAGTTTCTAATTACTAAGTGTATTTTAGAATGAGATATTTTGTTGGCAATATTGTTAAAGTGTGGCCATTAAGTCTCAGGTTTTCTGAGGCAAACCTAATTTTAGATATTCTATTCTGTTAACAGACGATCTGATCCCACTCTTTGGTTCTGGAAATACAATAATCGTTCATATATTTCCCCCATCCCCCAATAAAGTTGTCTGTTACCACTGTGTAGATCACAGTGTGTTTATCCCAGAGCAAGGTGGGAAGCAGATGTGGGTATTACCTGTGTTTTTGCTTCTGTTTTATTCCAGTTTCATCTTCCTTTAAATATGAAAATATGGTGCCTTCCCTCCCTCTAGAAAGATTGGCAAATGCTCCCTCTATTTCCTGCTGCTGCGGAGGGATGAGATAGCACTTTACTCTTGAAGAATCAGCAGAAAGCTTGTCACTTCCCAGTATGTCCAGAAGAGATCACGTTGGAACTTAGGAAGATTTGCCAAGCAATCTTTGTTTTTAAGAGATAGTAATGTTGACCCCAGAGTAAGTCACGCTAGTATTTGTTTATTCTCCTCCCCCAGTCCCCCCCCAAAAAAAGCAAAATAATAACCCTGTGGCAAAGCATATAAAAATGTACCTCAATAATGTTCTATTAAAAATGGGACAGGGGCCTTAAGTTTTAATAATTTCCCAACAATGTGCCACCATATTTTTGCCTCAAGGTAAAGGTTTTTAAAAGCTAAAAAGTACTTCCTGTTTTCCCCTGTGCTGTCATTCTAACCCATAATGCCCTAGTGTTTTGTGCAATGTGTGGTGTGTATGTATATGTATATACGTGTGTGTGTCTCTCGAAATATACCATCAGAGACATCATACTAAAGTACTTGATGTATTGCCATCTCGTTCCTATTTCTGATGTGTGAGGTATATGGTACTAATTAACCTTTTCCCTGACGTTTGCCAAATTTGAATAAAGGCATTGGTACGAAATACAGAATGTATAGAGATGTTTTGGCTTGAAAAATTAATAAATCTTTTTTCTGACCCACCACAGTACACTCGGGTGAACCCGGCCCCTTTTGGATTTTTCCGACGTTGGCCTCCCTTTCCCCAACCCCAATTCCCTATTTTGGGGGGGGTGGGGGACATAACAATTCTTTTGTAGCATTGTTACAAGTGTAATTCTATGACAGTTGGACATTTATAGATGGAAACAGACTGGTATTGATAGTACAGTAGTCACCAGTGTGCCACATTTGCATTCATAAATGCAAAATATATGTTTTATAAAGGACAAATTTTGTGTTGTGTTTTTATTTTCATTACATTGTACAATATTGTAAGATTATTGTATGTCCTAATCTGCATTATAAATGTTAATTTTCTTTCCTACGTAAAGGCATAAATATCGCAACTTTGTATAAAGGTAGCTTACTAGATTTTTAACTTTTTCTTTTATAAAAAAATTGTCAAACAGTGGGACTACCATTGCCAAATTGTATATGAAATCTGAATTTTACCCCCTATGATTTATTTCTTTTATAAACATTCCAGATTTCTCTAATAAAAGATGGAAGTGATACTGTACTACGCATAAATGTATTTCTAATGCTGTGCCACATCAGCGTTTTAAATTTCAATTTGAATCTTGAATATTGGCAAAACTTAACCACTGTTAACTAGATGAAACCTTGTTGGATCTGTCACAACATAGTTTGCCCTTTAGCTCTTGCCGCTCTCTGTTCGAATTTCTCCCGACCAGTGCCGACTTCACACAGCCTGTGGCATGGCAGTCAAACCCACTGAGGACAGGTGTGGCTTTTTGGAGGAAGGTGGGATGGGGCAATTTCCTTCTAGTTATTCTTTGCATATGTTTTCTTTTTTGCCAGATTAGCCATGATTCCAAAGGTTGTCTCATATTTGATGTAAACATGCTTTTTTTTGTAAACATGCTTTTAAGGACAAGTGTGAATGTACTTTTAAGCTTAGTTTTTGCCATAAACAAGTAACTAATTTTTTATCTTTGGAAAAGTACAATCAAACCTTTATTAACTGGAGTACTTAAAAGAGTAAGCTGATTATTGAATTTAGTTAAACAAGGGCTAAGCGACACCTTTTTAAAAAAATCCTTATTTATTGTAGCATATTATTCTACTTTATTTCCCTAGGAAATCGTACTCTGTAAATTCCGGTTGATGTTAGACAGTTTAAGATCTTGCGTTGCCTTACTGTTGTTACGTCTGGCATACTGTTCCATGGTGAAGTACTCAAGTTGACACCGGGAACCGAGCTAACAACACACTGACCTTAAGCTACATGAAAAGCCGTTTTGTTGGATAACAGCTGGTCAGAGTTCTTATGGTTACTTTCCCTTTATTTACTGAAACTAGATCGCAATAAAACCCCAATAAAAGTTTGGTTGACTACCTATTTAAAGTTTTACTGTATTTATATCCTTCACATTTCTTGAAATTTCATGATAGAGATTTTATTTCTAAGTCTCATATCACTGCATCAAAGTGAGCATATAATGAATTGAGTATAATGTTATCAAATGTAGTGAAACTATTTCACATAGCCTCTCACAGTATTATCAAGGTGGTCATTCAAACACTGGCTCTCAGCTGTGGAACAGCCTGGTCTTTGTCACTGGGTGGACCCAGTTTAGCTGGCAGAGCGTGCTCGTGATGACGTCTTTTCAAAGGGAAGTGGGAGCCAGGTGCACGTGTGATTGGGTGCTTACTGTGCACCTGGGCCTGTGGCAGACATCAGTCAGTTCTGATGTGGTGCAGAGATGTCATTGTGGGAAATTTGAGTGTTTCTCGCAGATATTAAGAACTTAGGATTCTTTCTTTGTCATTTGAGGAAAATACTGTTCACATTTTTAAAATCTAATGAATAAGCATGCACTAGGCCCTAAGCGATCATAACCGTTGCAGTTCTTGTCCTCTAATGAATTTATTAGCCCGAACGATGTCTCACACAGTGGGTGGGGGTGTGGAACACTTGAGTGGTCTAGGGGAGCTGCAAAAGTTTAGATAGCCCACACTTTATCCTGGATTATGAACTGTAGTACAAGAGTTAACTGCCAAAGGGTGCTGAGAATTTTTTTTTTTCCTTTTCTCAAAAGGGGGCAGTCAGTCAAAAAAGTTTGGGAATCTTATCTAGAATATCATCTGCTCTAGAGAACTAAGCCCTAAGTATCCATTGTATGTAACGAGTTTACCTATGTCTGAGGAGTCTGGTGACCACAAGATCTGCATTGTAAACCTACCAGCCCCTCCTTGGGAGAACTAGAGGTCTGGAAAGATTTACAGCCTTGGGAGCCCTAGGGAACAATTTTATTAACCCTATAATAGGGTCGCTCTGAGTCAATTACCTCTGGGGGTGGGGTGGGGGTATATGTTTTATGAGAATTGACAAGCACTCAAATTCTTAATATAAAAAATACAATAAAGGTGTGCACACTCAGCCTGGGAGTGGAAATGTTTGAGGAAAACTTGAAGGAAGTACTCCCTAAGGTATTTTAGAGAGCCTTCCTAGGTTAGAGGATGGGGGCCAGAGAACAGGTCAAACCGGCTCAATGACATCCAAAGTTGAATCTAGGATCCGCCCATCTTGTCACATGTATACCCCCAATCCCTCCTCTTGCTATTGCATGGATACCCCTAGATCACCCCCCTCCCATTACTGTATTACCTATAGCACAACCCTTTCCTGTGATGTATGTCTTCACCTGTAATTAGGGGGCTTGCATGTCCCCAGAGAATATAAAAACCTTGGTTAGCAATAAATAGCTCTCTCCATGTGGACCACCAAGTTAGGCTGAGGTGAGCATGCTACCATGAAATGTGTCTTGACTCCATTATTTCTATCTCCTATCATGCTCTCTGTGACTTTACTATGTATAGTCTTTACTTATTATCGCTGTACAATTGCGCCTACTGACGATGTGTTAGGGGCTGATATACCCTGACAGTCTGATGAGAGGCATAACAAATATGGAGGTCAAGGAGGTACCAGTTTATTGGGACCAAAAAAAAAAACCTGCCATGGAGTCAATTCCAACTCCCAGTGAGCCTTCGAGGTCAAGTTAGAACTGACCGCCCTTGGGGGCTCTGCTACTGAACTGTTAGTTTCTAAGTGCTGATCTTGAGGTGAGTTCAGTGTGTAGCCCGCTTTGCCACCAGGGCCCCTTTGCTGAGACTAGACCTAATCCACTGCCATCGGGTCGATTCCAACTCAAGGCATCCCTATGTACAGAGGTGGGATTCAGCAGGTTCAAACCAGTTCAGCAGAAAGGATACCAGTTTGTTTGGGGAGTTTGGCACTTGTCATCAGGGTTCTCTAAGGTGGGCGACTGGGAAGACGTCCATTGTGGAAATCGGAAATTTGTATCCCTTAATCTTGTTTCATGTTCGTCATGTGCAACAGGCTATTCTAAACACGGTCATGTTTGTTCCGTCCATAGGTATAATAAATTAGATGGGACTCTGCATGTAATATT